TAGTAATCAGATATTTCTTTGGCTACAACACTTGTAGGGAGAGAACGTATGCATCTCTTTTTTGCTTGCCTCGGTTCAGCTCTATCGACGACCTCTTCCATACATCTCCTTTTTCGCACGAGAATAGAATTCACTCTGTGTGAAGTGCCAGCACCGGTCAACGTGCTTTCCAAATTATCAATATTATCAGCCACCATTAACGAAACAGGTGAGTTATCACATTTCATTGCTTCATCAGGGATGACAACTCGCATCTCCTTCTGCTCATTTAAGACTTTCAACGCATGTTCTGTCTCAATTTCCTCAATAAGGTCATAGCTTATTCCATGGCCATGACGATTATTAAGTCTAATCACTTCGGTATTGTTACACAGCGATTTAACAACCACAGGGAAAAGAACACTTTTGGGTGTTTTGATATTTCCATTAGAGACGATATAAACTATGTCTTGGCAAATTGAGTTAGACAGTCGAACAACCTTTTCATTTTTCTTCCGTTCACTCTCCATGCTTGAACCCGAGAACAGGACAGTACAAAACATATCCAAGAGATGAGGGATGTACTTCAGCACAATATTTGGTTTAAGATCGTCTTCTTTTGGGGGCCAAGACATCTGTGGTTGCATTGCTTTTAACTTCATTGTTTAAAATTTTGGCAACTTTAATAATGTCTTTGCTTTCCTTATCCAAGTTCTGACAAGAATCAATTTCGCACTTAAGTTGGTAATTGCTACATCTAATAACGTCGTCCATACTCAATGTGCTTGGGTACACCAAAACTTTGTTATTTGACGGGTAAGCAAACTTAAGCTCTTCGTTAAATCTGTTAGACAACTTTCGAACGAGATTTTTAAATTGAGATGGCATAATTTTAAAACCAATTTTCTCCGCCTCTGCGGACATTAATTCCTTGATAGTTTTAAGTTCAACAATTCTTGGTGATTTTATTAAATCAGAACAAAATGAAAATAGTGATTCATAAACTTGGTTAATACAAGCGCCGCTTGCGTCTTCGATATATTCATCTGTTTTGCAGCGTCCACGTTTTCCGTATCTGAGTATGCAATGCGGACGAATAGTTTATAGCATGATGCATGATACTTTGCTTCACTCGAAATAGGATCTTTGCAGCATAATCCAAGCACTTCTTGGGCAATGACAGTATGACACTCAACTCTGAGCATGTTTTGATGTGTAATTTTGCACTTCTTCGGACTTTATCATCTGAGCGAAATTCCATACAACTTCTTTTTTCTCCCTTGTGGAACTTCTCGGCTTGTACTTATCCTTTTTGCAGAAAATACAACGATCTGGTAGTACTGCTGAACTAGGCTTTAGTGTATCTCGTGAACTCCTTCTCTGAGATGAATATTGCTGAGGAAGAGGTTTCAGAAAGCTGTTTAGGAGGAACTTTAGAAAGCTTCAACAGATCTTTCTTACGCGTAAAAGTTGCTCGACATGAACGGTGATATCCCACAGGAAATTCGGGTAAGCCATTCTTTCCGACAGTTACATCAAAAAATATATATTATAAAAATATTTATAAAGAATTTATAAATGTTTAAAGAAGAAACTTAAAGGTAGGTTACAGTCCCTTCTGCGATGCGCATGTCTGTGATTGTTTTTGCCTGGGGACTCCACCGGAAGTTGGGCATCTCGGTTTATACTCGGTCCAGTCTCATTTCTGGCAATAACACGCGCGTTGTTTTTTCGCAAGCGAAGGAGTGAAGCTAGAAGTTTCCAAAATATATTGTGATTATTGAGCTTTTTTGAGCGACAATCCTTCAAATAACGAGTTTTTGAGGCAACATGACGAGTAGGAAAGAAAACCACGCTAGCAGGGATGCTTCCAAAGTGTATCAAAGTGTATCTATTTTATTGTTTTCCTCGATGAAGAGCGTGCCATTTCTGTCTGCGTTTCACCATGATATACCTACATGAGGAAGCTCTATAGGTTTTGAAGAAAAGAATCCAAGAAGGATTGGACTTTTCACCCAACATAGCTGCTATTCACTCACTTCCCTGTGGATACTTCAGTGAAATCGCTTGTTGAAGCCCATCAAGTCGAGGTTTTAATGACTATAAAATTCTATTTATTTATTATTTTTATTATACACTATCGTTACATACGAACTGTTCTATCTCTTTTATTTACAAACTGAAATCCATATAATTAAGGCCTAAAGATATGATACTCGTGAGTAGGAGTTGTCAATGAAAAAGTGTTAAATGAGCAATTTGGAGTAAACATGTCTTGGATGGCTGTTTATATAGTGTTTATTGTCAGAGTGATAAATTATATAAATTAATCTACTTGACTGTGCTTTACTGTCTTTGACTGTCTTCTCATGGACAACTTGTGTTCACTTAATAGAAACACATAAAAAGTTTCTCTGATCAAAGTAGGCTATATTTTAATCAAAGCAGCTTACAGCCCTCGAAAATGAGGTCGGCATTTGGCAATGCCGACCTAAATGCCGACCTATCAACCTCCCAGGCCGGCAAATTTTTGCCGACGTTAATTCAGCAAAAGTAAGAATTTGTTGGTGCTGATAGCTGTTAAAAAGTCAGCGATTATAAAATTTGATTCGTAGTTCGATTAACTAAACACACTTTGGTGTAAGGTTTAAAAATTGACATTTAAAAATTAAATTAAATTAGCTCAGGTAACCGGGCTGGCTCGCCTCCATATAAACACCGCCTAAGACATTTAGTTTATAAAACATTTTGATCACAGATGCTTATATGATGTAAACAAACTCAATTAATAATTACTAGCATATTTTTTCACCCTAATTTTATTGTGACTAAAAGCTTGCATGTAAGAACCTACAATTTAAGAACCTGTCAGGCTAAATTTTTTTATTTAGACACCCTAAATAAGAATTTGTTTAGGCTAGCATTTCAGGTTCTTATTTTATCACATGAAGACAAATGAAATCTAAAAATGTATATAAATCAAAGAAAATAAACTCTTCACAAAGTAATGAAAATGATCCAGAACACTGAAAATGTCATCGAGATAAATAAAGTGTTAGCATGCAGCTTTACAGTACAGCTTTACACATAGCTATTAGTTAGATAATTTGTGCACAATTTATATATATGTATATACATGTAAATTATACCTCACATGCCAAAAATGAGTCGCTTTTCTTTAAGAATTTAACCTAATTTCCAAGCTCTAATGATCATGTAGTCACTACATCTAATAGATTAATATGAAACTAGTTTTTCGTATCTCTGAGGATGGTTCTGAAATAGAATTGAAACACTTCGCGTCCTCTAAGACAAGCGTTAAGTCGTCACGAAAATATTTCGTGCACTTAAATTGGATAAGACTCGCTACCAATCCCTGTTGACTCGATAGCTCAA